AGAGCTCCCAGTGCCCTCAGCCGGAACTCATTTTATAACACCTGATCAGATGCCGTCCCTTTCCTGTGTCCCCTCTCCACTCTCCTATCATTGTTTCCTTCACTTCCTAAATAAACCACTTGCCCTAGAATCTTTGTCTCAGGGTCTGCTTCTGGGGGGACCCAGCCTAATAAAAGCCATGTTATTTTTTTCTCTTGAGCTCCACTTAGACCCTGCAGCCCACCTATTTGTATCTTCTCCCACCTCAAGGCCTGGCTCCTGAACGGCACATCACTGGCCCTGGATCCACCTCACTAGCAATTGAACTTGCTGGTGTCCTGCACCTCCTACTTTGTCTCACATGTCTGAGTTGTTGGAGCTTCCATGTTGGAGCCACTCCTGAGCTTGTTACATGCTCTTGACCTGCCCTGCAGGCCGGCCAGGTACCCCTCAGGTTGAACCTCTAGAACCAGCTTTGGACCCTACACACCCAGTGCAGAGTCTTTGGCCCATCCCAGCACCTCAAAACCCCTGCCTGACCTCCTCATCTTCTGCCAGCAGCCAGGAATGCATCTGGGCGCTCTGGCAGGGTGCATAATCAGCCTCTGGAACTCCAGACACTGGAAACCCATCCCAAGATGTGGTCCTCACGTCCTCAGCTCTGACCTCCTGCCTGTCTTCACTGCGCTGTCAATGTGCCACCTGGTTTGACAACTACTCTTGCTTTCCTTACTTTGACTCTCCCGGGACCAGGGAGAACGGGAGAGTCTGTGCCTTTTGCCATTTTAGAGGCCATTTCAGCTCCATTCAGCCTGGTCCCAGGCACAGGCTGGGCTGTGAGGACAGCAATGAAGAAGCTATTTCTGACCTAGTGGAGGGTTCTGATAAGTGCATAAGCAATTACAACCCACTGTGACAAGTACTACGGCGGGGAGGGGAGGGTGTCCAGTGCTGCAGGAGCCCAGGAAGGCACTGTGAGTGAGTCCAAGCCTATGACTAAGAATTCTCAGGGGGGAAGACTGGAAGAGAGAGACGGTTTGTCTGGCTCAAGCAGCAGCATCTACAAAGGCCAGAGGGGATAAAAGATTCCCCAGTGAACCTCATGTTATACAGTGGGAATTAATACAGGATCCTGAGAATATTTACGGAAACAAAGAGATAAATATTTACTGTGAGTGGTCTCACTAATGAGTTGTATCTTCTCATGGAACCCTTCCTCTGAGTTCCTCGGTCTCTGCATCACTCCAACTCTGCCGGGGATAAACAATGTGATCCACAGAACCATTTAGAGGACTTTCGCCCAGGTGCGAACAGTCCGATTTAACCCTCTGTGCGGGCAGCAGCACATTTGAGCTCCAGGAATCCTGATGCTCATTGCTGAGCCGTTTGCTCTAATTCAGTGGTCGGCAAACTGCGGCTCTCGAGCCACATGCGGTTCTTTGGCCCCTTGAGTGTAGCTCTTCCTAGGAGTACCCTAATTAAGTTAATAACAATGTACCTACCTATATAGTTTAAGTTTTAAAAATTTGGTTCTCAAAAGAAATTTCAATCGTTGTACTGTTGATATTTGGCTCTGTTGACTAATGAGTTTGCCGACCACTGCCTAGGTAAAGGGCAGAATGCTTGAGTCAGTAGATCATGCAACCAGTGATTGGAAACCCGAACCTGATTACCAACCCCACCAGCTATCCACCCCAGGCCCTGCGCAGCCATTGCTGCAAGAACAGATGGCGTAGGTAGAAAGTTCTGGAAAAGAAAGCCAGGAGCCTCACTAGTCCACCAGCTCTAATGATTCCAGCTGATTTCTTCATGGGGCTGCCTCGCCCAGCCCTGGCACAAGCCCCATCCTTCAGGGGTGGGGCCTGGAAGAGACTCAGGTGCCCCCCCGCCCCGCTTTCAGGAGACTGGTCTTGAAGAACTTCAGTAAATTGCCCTCCTCTGTTCATTGTCATGCCTTCTCTGAGCTGTTGACGACTGGGGCTGGGACAGGAGTGGGACTATGCTTGCTGGAGGGGAATACAAGGTGGGTTGTCATAATCGGCACAGGTGGAACGCGAGAGGCAGTGAGGATGATGGGACAGGGAGACTGTGCACTGGATGAACCCACATATAGGTGGATGAACAGAATGTTAGCTAGAGGCACTGGGATTTGGAAGAGTTGGGCCCCTGTGTTCCCGTAACTACAAATCCCTATGGAGATAGAAGCACCACTGCTGTGCGTTCGCTCAGCAAGGAAAGGGGCACACCACCCACTGAGGGCACAGGAGCAGGAGGCACCTGGGGTTGAAAATGGAGACATTTTTGAGCCACTACTCTTAAAAAACCAAGGGCAGCGGCTTTGTAGGGCATGGGCACCATGTATTCTGGGGTTCTCCTCAATCAAAAGTGTTCATGTGCCAACACCCTAACTTCTTATACTGTGTGTGTGTGCACCTATATTAATTTGTTCGCTCAGCAAGGAAAGGGGCACACCATCCACTGAGGGCACAGGAGTAGGAGGCACCTGGGGTTGAAAATGGAGATATTTTTGAGCCACTACTCTTAAAAACCAAGAGCAGCGGCTTTGTAGGACATGGGCACCATTTATTCTGGGGTTTTCCTCAATCAAAAGTGTTCATGTGCCAACACCCAAACTTCTTATACTGTGTGTGTGTGCACCTATATTAATTTACCTATTAATTAGTAAATTTATACTAGAACTAGAAGATTGTCTAGAACAGTGGTTCTCAACCTTGTGGCCCTTTAAATACAGTTCCTCATGTTGTGACCCAACCATAAAATTATTTTCATTGCTACTTCATAACTGTAATGTTGCTACTGTTATGAATCGTAATGTAAATATCTGATATGCAGGATGGTCTTAGGCGACCTCTGTGAAAGGGTCGTTCGACCACCAAAGGGGTCTCGACCCACAGGTTGAGAACCGCTGGTCTAGAACCTGAAAAGTCTAGAGTAGGGCCAGCAAACTACAGCACATGAGCCAGATCCAGCCACTGCTTTTTCACAGCCTGGGAGCTAAGAATGGCTTTTACATTTTAAAATGTTTATCACCTATTAATTACCTACATAACCATTTCAATAGTTGCATAATATTCTCGATTTTGCCTCTTGGCCAGCAAAACTTGAAATATTTCCTCTCTGGCCCTTTAAGAAAACATTTGCCAACTCCTGTTCTAGAACAATGATTCTCTATAGAGCCAAAGTAATAGAAGGGAAAATGTGACCATCAGAATTTTGGGGGGAAAGCTGGGATGCAATGCGTAGCTGAAAAAGCATGTTCTAGCCGAAACCGGTTTGGCTCAGTGGATAGAGTGTCGGCCTGCGGACTGAAGGGTCCCAGGTTCGATTCCAGTCAAGGGCATGTACCTGGGTTGCGGGCACATCCCCAGTGGGAGATGTGCAGGATGCAGCTGATCGATGTTTCTCTCTCATCGATGTTTCTAACTCTCTATCTCTCTCCCTTCCTCTCTGTAAAAAATCAATAAAATATATTTGGAAAAAAAAAATAAAAGAGTTACACATAAGTGTGATTTAAAAAAAAATAAATAAAAAAAAAAATAAATAAAATGTTCCAGTTTCCTGGTGCTTGTGATGTTTAGATTGTCCTCTGACTTACCAGCCCCCCACTATTGGAGTGGTCCCACCAGCAGCGTCCATTAACCTCGGAGCCTGGTAGAAATGCAGCTAATCGATGTTTCTCTCTTGTCGATGTTTCTAACTCTCTATCACTCTCCCTTCCTCTCTGTAAAAAATCAATAAAATATATTTTTTAAAAAAAGAAAAGAAAAAGCATGTTCTAACCCCATGATCGAGGAATTCCAGTTGTAGGTATAACCTGAAGAAATGCCCTGCATGTAAAAAGAAGATGATGACCACATTGTTCCTCACAATAACCAAAAAAAGATATTGAAAATTAAATTGTGGTATATTAGTATGGTCAAAATCTGCACAGCAGTAAGAAAACTTACCTAGACCTAGATACATATCAATATGAGATCTCAAAAATATAATGTTGATGGAAGAAAAGCAACTTGCAGAATGATCTGTATAGTCTGAAACCAAATGCATAAACTTATAAGTAAAAGTTCACAACAATTTTATGTATTGTTCTTATTTATGTGTGTGTGAAAAAGATGTCAAAATGCACTGGAAGATGGTATACCAAACTTTTGTACTATTGCCTGTAGGAAGAAAGGGAGAAAAGGCAAAAAGGGAGGTCAGAAATGAGACGGGGCTGAAATGGTAGTAGCCAAGGGAACTTCAAATGCATCAATATACTTTGTTCTTACACACAAACACAAACACCTAAAGTTAAAAATATAAAATGCAAATACAAATTCTGAGTGGTAGGAAGCCAGGTACTTGTTTTATTATTCTTATCTCCAAATTAACGGAACATATTCTAAAATTACCTCTGTTTTTATTTACTCTTTCCTGCTGTAATTACTTTATTTTGAAATTCTAAGTAACTAAAGAACAGTGT